CTCAGTGCCGCAGCCCTCGGAAGGAAGTCCCTCTGGTGTAAGCGCATGCACTAACCAGCTCAGAGCCTCCGGCACTTCTCTCAGTGCTGCTTTTCATGGTGACCTTCCTGGTTCCCACATGAGGTGATGCTGCACAAATTTACTCTACAATACATCTGAGCAGAATGAAAGGGAAACCCTTTAACATGGAGTCAACAGTCAGACATGGGCCTGGCTGGAACCGGGGGGCGGGGGGAGGCTCAGAGGATTGACGTTGGGCAAGCGTTGATCTAGATTTTCAGACAAAGTTCTTCATTTCACAGCTGGGGAAACTGAGGCCCAGAAGGGGGAAGGGTTCTGTAGAAGTCTCAGGGAGTGTTCCCACTTGGGGGCTGATGCTCTCACTGTTGTCCCCTCTCACCACAGTGCCTGCAGGGCCGTATTTCATCATGACTGGGGTACCACTGGCGAGAGGCATTCCAGTGCTAGAGATGTGACGATGTGGAGAACACAGTGTGTCTCCGAATAAACAGAACGCTGCAGTGGCCCCTGTGGCATCCTCCTGAGGGGAGTGACCCGAACTGCTTCTCATGGGAAGAGATCGGTCCCCTGGGAATGAGGCGAACGGTATTGGAATGAAAGGGAATCAGGAAGATTCGATCCAGGCATGAGAAAGACGCCCTCACTCTCAGGAGGCCGTGAAGGAGGACCGTGGTGATCTGAAGGCCGCCCTTTCTCCTTGGAGGGTTGACTGCCCCCTGTTCCCTGACCCACCCAGACAGAGCAGCTGCCCCAGGTCCTCCCAGGGCATCTCCCAGGGGACTCACCACTCTCCGAAGGGGCCATTAGTTTCATGATGGTGTTCCCATGTCCAATCTGGACGGCTTCGGAGTTCTGGATGGAGATGTGGCTGTGGGGTGCGTTCTGACAGATCATGACAGGGCTTTGCTGGTAAATGATGGTGGGGGCCCTGGGAGTCCCTGTGGAATAACATGCCACTCAACCCCTCCGCATCCCCCGACGGATCTGGGGCTCCAACTGCCGGCTGGCAGCACCACGTCTCCTGGCAAGCCTGGACATAGAGTCCTAGTGCCCACCGCGGTGCTGAGTCCGGAGCCCCTAGCCAGGAACGGGCATGTCTGACAAATGCCACTGGCATCTCGGATGACCCTCCCCTGGACATCGTCACCCTGCCTGAGTGTCCTCTGCTGCCCCAAGAGGATCGGGGAGCTTCCTGCTCACCTGCCCTCTGCCCCCCTCCCTTTGAGCAGCCACACGCTGACCGTGAGCGCCCTCCAGCCAAGGCCAGCGGCTGTCCACAGATAAGCTTTGCTTGCCTCCCAAGGCATTTTTAAGAATTTGCCTTTGTGACCAGTGTTTAAAATCCACCTGCTGTCGCAGGGCGTCATTCCTAGGCTGCTGAGGACCCTTGGAGCAGGGGTGTCCGCCCACGCCGGCCAGATGGGCACCTGCCCGGGGCTTCGCCCCTGCACACACGGGCCACATTCCCACCTCCGTGGGCCCTGGGCTCTTGTGTCTTTGTGGGCCCACTTCCTCCATTAAACATATTTTTTAAAATTATATGTTATGACTGCATTGGGATAAAGACATATAATCTAGGCGAGAGTCGTTATTATGATTATAACGTTCACTGTTTTCTTCTGATTTTAAGAGAAATGGGAACATTTCTGTGGGCCTGTAAAAGGACCGTGGGCTCGAGGCCCTGCGACTGCTGCACCTGGTGGATAAGTCACCCTGGGACTCCGCCCCCCGGCTATCTGAGCCCAGCCTGGTCTCCTTCAGCAATGCCAACTCCAAGTTGGGCAAAGTGCCTACAGAACTGTCAGCAACCTCAGGCTGAGCCCTGCGCCCAGGCCAATACAGCCAGGAGTGGGCCGCCCCTCCCAGCCCCTTGCCTTCTGCAACTACAGCCTCAGGCCCCGCCTCCAGGAGGCCCTCCCTGGTTACTCCCCCGTCGTGCTCCTCCCTCCTGGAACCCCTTCCAGTGACTGGTCAGCAAGACAAGTGCAAGCTTCTGGGAGGTTCTGAAGGTGGAGCAGGCCGAGTGCTCAGCAGGGTGCCCAGCAAGGAACACAGGTTGGGCATCAGAGTGTGTCTTTCCCTGCCCTGCCCAGGGAAGCATGTAAGGGCCTACCTGGTTGATAAATTGCCCATGTTTTTGAATTCTTGTCCAAGTCCAGAAGGTGCTTTTCCTGCATGGCATACAGGTATGGGTTGACATCCTTTGACGTCTTCATCCCCAGGGACCGGGCGATGCTCACAGCCCTCTGGGGCCCGCTGGCTTCCAGCAACCGTAAGATCTGTCCCTGCAGCTCTGTGGGCGGCAGGAGGGTGGGTGGTTAAGGAGGACTCGGGAGTTTGAGTCTGCTCCACTGCTTACTAGCTGTGCGACCCTGGGCAGCCGCAGCCCCTCTGAGCCCGTTCCCTCGTCCATCAGACACGCATAATCACTGCCCACGGAGGCTGTCCTGGGGCTGGGGACGGCACCGAGCCTCCGGGCGCGCCTGGCGCACGGGCTGCACAGTGATGTCAGCTCCCGACCAGAGGAATCGATCCTCGGGCCGTTAGCTTCTTCCACCGCAGAGACTGAGCGCTGCCTCAGGGCGCTTAGTGGGAACCTCCCGGTGGGGTGGGAGGGTCACGGCCCTGAACTCTCATAGCAGGTCCTGTGGTGAAGGAAACAGGCCCTTGTCCCAGCAGCTGAAAGGAAGCCAGTGCTTCCGAGGTCACCCAGCTGAGAGCCAGGTTTCTGGGAACTGCAACTGTGTCTTGCAGGGTCCCGTCTGCTGGAGAGAGGAAGACGGCCAGGGGTGGAGGAGCAGGAAGGGGACGGGACTCTACCAGGCGAAGGCGGAGGGCATCGCGAGCTCTGATCCGGCCCTGCCTCTTTCCAGCTGTGTGGCTGCCCTGCTACCTAACTTCTCTGGGAAAAGGGGGTTGAGTGCCGTCTCTTCCCATCGAGGGAACCTTGGGTGCGCCCTGGCCCATTGCAAGCACTTGACCAATGTCAGCTCTTTTGGTCTGTGGGCTACAGAACTGGCTAAGAGGATCTAGTGCAGCGGTTCTCAACCTGTGGGTCGCGACCCCTTTGGCGGTTGAACGACCCTTTCACAGGGGTCGCCTAAGACCATCCAGCATATCAGATATTTACATTACGATTCATAACAGTAGCAACATTACAGTTATGAAGTAGCAACAAACATAATTTTATGGTTGGGTCACAGCATGAGGAACTGTATTTAAAGGGCCAGAAGGTTGAGAACCACTGATCTAGTGTGACGTTAACTTTGTTCTATCATCATCATCATCATCATTGTCATCATTACTTTCTGTTATTATTGTACTTTGCTGAGCACCTACTATGTGCTGGCACTAGGCTGAACCCTTTGCATCTAATCCTCTCGAAACCCTACGAAGCAGCCCTGCTCTGTCTCCATTGGCCAGAAGAGGAAGTGAAGGCACGATGAGGGGGCATTATGCACCCGGAGGGGCAGAGCCTGTATTCAAACCCAGGCCCAAATCCAGGCTTGTCTGTTGCCAGGACTGCTGGTGCTGGGTACCCCCCCCCCCCCAGGTTGGCAGGTTACCATGGCTGGGCTGGGCCGGCTCTGCGGGAACCATTTCTCCAGGCCCACCCTCTCTTAAGCTCCATTTCGCAGAGTCATCTCGATCCACTTTCAACTTCTCTTTCATCCGGTAGAGAACACGGTTGATGTCCTTCCTGGGCACTTGGCATTCCTTTTCCAGCTGGGCAGCCTTCACAGGGGTGCCAGCGCCCTTCAACGCCTGCAGGATCCTCTGCTCAAGGTCTGGGAGAGGAGAGAGGGGCAGGGAGAGAACTGAGTGCCCAGGTTGGAGCCTGGCTAGAGGCTCAGGGGCAGGGGAGGCCCACGGGGGAGGGGCCCAGGGCAGAGTCCGAGCAGACATCCACCAAAGACACTTCTGTTCAGTGAGAGGCTCATGGGCTGCTCAGAAATGACCTTGGCTGGACAGCCTGGTGACCGAAGGAGGCATCCAGGCCTTTCACGGGTCCTCCACTTGCTGAGAGTGGCTAGAAGGCAGGTGGATGCTTAGCTCTCAGGTGTCCTCAGAGCAGAGGGGAGTGGAGGTGGCAGGATTCGGAGAGTGAGGGCAGGGGGGCAGGGGAGAGGGGAGGGGGGAGGGGCAGTGGGCCACTCTGTTCCCAGATCCCAGCCACCTCCTCCCTTCAAAATCTGCCCTCCTCAGGCTCGCCCTCCCTGCCTGTGTGGTTTGCCCTGGAAATACTGCTCCTGGCTCCCTTGAGTCCCCTCATCTCCTCTTCTCTGCTTCCACCTCCTCCGGGCAGGATCCCCCCCCACCAAGGGGATATGCGTTCAGGATGCAGAGGGCGCTGTGGGCGGCAGGTCACCCATCAGGAGGAAACCTGGGCCCCAGCAGCCCCGAGGGAAATGCGACGCGGGTCCTTCTTGGGAAGCCAGGTCCCCTTCCAGGGAGGTGGCCCTAGCGAGTCCTCCGCTCTGGTTTATCCGGCTCCTCAGCGGCAGCACTAGTGGGAGTGGACCCTCCGGCTCAGCGCTACAGCCCGGCTGCAGCTCGCCTTTGTCACAACGCTTTCACCTGCCGGCAGGTGAAGCGCAGTTAGAGCACCTGGGGGCGCCCACTCCTTCACCCACTGCTACCCCGAGCAGTCATCAGCCGCCAGACCCTCCTCCATCAACCACACAGGGCTCTGCCTTGTCCTAAAAAGAGTTTGGATTCTTGAAAAGCCGGCCCCTGGTCAGCCTCCTCCCGCCCCCTCCACCCTGACTGCAAAGGCAAGTGAAGGGAGCGAGGCCCCAGCAGCTGGGAGGCTGTGAAATGGACGAGGTACAAGTGGCGCGTGATAAGGAAGGGGAAGCCACAGAGAAGAAGTAGCACGTGGTTACCGAGTGGCCTCGACTGGTACCTGCGTGTCCCTTGGGGAGCATGTCAGGACCCTGGGAGCCAATCCACCTAGACCAGTGGTCGGCAAACTCATTAGTCAACAGAGCCAAATATCAACAGTACTTCTTCAAAACAGACTCGCCCAGGCCGAAAACCTACTTCTACGCGTGGGCCACGAAGTTTCAATCGCACTGTATGCGCGCCCCCACGTGGTATTTTGTGGAAGAGCCACACTCGCCAGCCGCAGTTTGATGACCACGGACGTAGGCCACACCCTGCCCTCCCCTCCCTACACCCTCTTTGCCTCCTTTTTGTTCTCCGAGGCTGGTTTCCCAGGTGTGAACCCCGGCTCTGCCACCTCCTGGCTGTGTGACTCTGTGCCTCAGTTTCTCCACCTGTGAAGTGGGGTAACAGCAGCTCCTTCAAAGGTTGTGGTGAGGATGGAATGAGCCAATGATAACAGAAACAGCAACTAGAGACCAAAACCCCACCCGCAGTCCGCAGCCCCCAGCCCCCAGCCCGCAGCCCCCAGCCCCCAGCCCGAAGCCCCCAGCCCCCAGCCTGCAGCCCGCAGCCCCCAGCCCCCAGCCCGCAGGCCCCAGCCCGCAGCCCCCATGGGCACTCTAGAACCCAGGGATTGCTCAGTGCCGGCCCCTCCGCTAGGGCCTTGGGAGTGAAGCTCTCAGGAAGAGGGCAGCGGGGGAATGTGTGTCTCTTATCAAAGCGGCTTGTGCTGCTTCTCAAAATGAGTGTGAAGACGGCGCTCAGCCCCCAGCATCAGCCGGGTGCCCTGAGGTTTTTGCCTCTCAGGGCCTTGGTGGTCTCAGGTGTGAAATGGGAACATGGCAGCGCTCACCACTGAGGTGATTGTGAAATGCCTGGGGCGTGTGGCCAGGCACCTAGGGCAGGGCCAGCCTCCCAGCCCAGCCCACACTCTCTCCTCTTCCTGGGCACTGTGTGCTCCTGGGTATGGTCGCTCTCATTGCTGTAATCAGTCCCCCCAGGTCCCACCATCCAGTGGGAGGGAGTACTAGTACCTGTCTCATCGATGTCTGCAGACGCCTGGGCCATGCTGACAGCAGCGGATAGGAGCCCGGGGAGACTTGGGGGCCTTGCGAAGGTGGGCTGGTCGAGGCTGGTGTCCCTGTGTGGCTGAGGCTGGGCTTCTGGCAGCTGTGACGGGAGGCTGGCTTCACGGGCAGGCACCAGCTGTTTACACCCCGGAAACAGGCCTAGAAAGCCGGGACTGATCAGCATTGTGGAGAAAAAGAAAACGAAACTTCTGTCTGTGGCTTTCGAAAGAAACAAAATTGAAAGCAGAATGGATGAGTAAGCGGGCGTGGACTAGATGCTGGAGGGTAGAGCTGAGTAACTTCCAGGTGCCACTGATGTCCACCCGACCCCCCCGCACCCCACAGAGGCGAGGACCCTGGATGCCCATGATCGTGTGCACTTCAAAATGACAACTCTCGTTAATGAACACCTACCGTGTGCTTTCAAATCTCATGGGCCCTCTACTCACCTACAGGGTCGGGACTAGCACTGGCCTCTTCTCTCAGTGAGGACACTTGTTCAAGGCCACAGACATGCTTGGGCCCTAACCCAGCCCCTCCCCACACATGTACTGGCTCTGTGACCGTGGGCACGTTAATTAAACTTTCTGTGTCTCCATTTACTTCCAGTCACAGTCATGAGCACCACTGGGTGCCCGCATGTGTCAGGCAAAACACCCATCGCTTTTCTGAGTGATCCCCAAGCCGTCCAGAGCCATGTTCTCTTTCAGGTAATAGAGGGGAAACCGAGGCCTCCAGAAATGCAGGGCGCTGTGTGAGGCCGCCAAGAGGATCAAGAACGCAGCCCAGGAAGTCCCTGGGCCCGAGGTACCAGCTCAGGCCTGGGCGGGCTAGGGACATCCCCGCTCCCTCGGGGCACACTCACCGGGCAGCCGCTCTGCAAACGCCGGGGTCGGGGTCGACAACACCAGCGACAGCAGCGAGGGAGCGGGTCCCGGGCTCGCCCAGAGGTGGCCTTTGCAGAGCCAGCAGAAGGCCCGATGCCCAGTCCACAGCAGATCGACGCACTCCAACCTCCGGGGCGGGGCCAAGCGTGCCAGGTGATGTCATTGGCAGGGGGTGGTGGTGGAAAGTGAGACCAGCCATAAAACCAGGAAACCACAAGGGTGCTTTTGTTTCCCTTTTATGTAAATCCGAAGAAACCCGTATCTCTATATGCACTGATGAGGTTAACTGTAAAGGCAGGGTGGTTGCGGGTGTGGAGGAAGATTGTGGAAAGGGCTATGGGTGAGCCCCGGTGGATGCTGGGAGGTGCCGTGCCGGGACCGGCCACCAGGTGGCGCCCGCTCACCAACCCGGGCGCTGGCCCACCTCCCTTTGGCCCCTCTGATTGAGGGGGGACCTCCCACCCATCATCTCCCCAGGGAAACCTGAGTCCATCTGGCACGACCTCGGCTTCTCCCCCGTCCTCTCCTCCTCAGGCTCCTTAGCTCCTCCCAGGGTGCAAGCAGCAAGCCCAGGCCTTGACCCAGGTGCCTGGCCTCTGGGACTTGCAGGCCAGGCTGAGGGCACGCTTCATCCTGAGGGTCCAGTTGGCTTCTGGAAGGACCACTTAGGTTTCAGTGGCGACGGCTGGCCACCGGGCAGTGTTTGGATGGCCCTTCCTGTCCCCACTGCCCCATCCCGAAGCCACGTGTGGCCTCCGCCCTGGCTCTCTGAGTGGTCCCCGGAACCTGCGGCAGGAGCCACTGGGAAAGGCCACGCACCTGGGAGGTGCCGCCTGGACAAGGGTTCTGTCTCGCCTTCTTCTCCAGGGCAGGCCCTGCTTCTCCCTGTGGGTCAGGACCTCTCTGAGTCTTAGTTTCTTCAACTGTAAAACAGAGATGATAAAGAAGAAGAAGCATGTCTATATGATACTCGGTAGGTTCTCACAAGTTAGAAAATGTGCTGGATGCATCTCTACCATATAACTTTGGGCAAAAGAAAAAAAAGGCAAGAGAGAGAGAGAAAGAAAAACAATTGAACATGGGTGGGTTCCAACTTCCCTAGCATTGCACAGCACGTCTAGAATTCATGGGAGCCATGAACCTGCTGTGAGCGTCTCACCACACTGAGTGGGATTCTCACTTTTGAAGATTTGGATTATCTTTTATTTCTCTTCTCAGTTTAAGAGATTTTCAAGGTAATTTTGACTTTAAAGATGATCTTTAACCCAAATATTAGTGGCTTACCCCATCCAGACCCTTCTTTCTTTTTTTCTCCTCAACAGTCTGATAGGTGGGCGGTCCAGGTTTGGTGTGGCACATCATGAGGTTAGGACCCAGGCCCCTTCTATCTTGTTGCTCTGCCATTTGTGGCCTCCATTCCAAGATTGGCCTTGAGTTCTAGAATGGCTGCTTAAGCTCCAGCCATCACATCTGCATTCCTTCCATCAGGAAGAAGGAAGGGGAAGAAGGACATGTATCTCCCTTTGAAGAACACTTGGAAGTTGCACGCATATTCCACTGACATCCCATTCAGCTCATGTCCTGGCAAGGGAGGCTGGGGAAAATGGTCTTTATGCTGGTCCGCAATGCACCCAGCTAAAATTGGGGCTTCTAGTACTTAAAAATACGGGACAACAGATATTGGAGGATACCTAGCTATCCCTTCCATTGAGAGGCTCAGGTGTTCCTCCACGGAAGGAGCGAAGGTACCTCCTCTGTGCCTTTAGGCATGGCCATTCGTGGGGCCTATTTATTGATAGGTCCGAGTTCAAGGGCAGTTTCCACACTCTCAGAGCCTGCCACCCAGGGTGGAAGGCAAAAGGGGAGAGGAAGGGAGGCAGGGACACCAATTCCCCCTTACCCCCCTAGGAAGGTCCTCAAAGGCCACAGGAAATCCCAGATGGCACCACAGACTGCTGGATCCCAAACCTCCTTTTGCCCTGAAAAGCAGACTCGTTTTCTATGGCTTGTGTTTTTCTAGAAACTGTTAGGAACTCTCTGCCCAAACCAGATGCTAATGACACGTTACTGATCTCGAGTCTTTAGATGTCTCCCTCGCTCTCTTTTCGAAGAGATATGTTTACCGCACATCGTGTTGTTGAAACCCAGTCTCCTTTCTCCCGGGCAGCCTGGATGTTATCTTCACATTTCTCCTGTGCATTCATCTCAAGGGTCAGAAGGCACCCAATGTGGGAAATGACATGTCTTTGGTCAAGGGCAAAGGTCAGAGAGCTGGAGGTGGCCAGAGGGGATTGCACAAGGTCCCAGGAGGTAGAGGAGGAGGGAGAGAAACCTAGACCAAGCAAAGCTGCTGCATCGAAGGCTCTGTTCACTGCCCTTCAAGACAGAGCTCAGTCACCCATGTCCCCAGAGTCAGGCAAACCTGGGGCTCTGGTCCTGGCACCCCCACCTTTTAGCTCTGTGCCCGGAGCCAGCCACCACTCGTTCTGAGCCTCAGTTGTGGGGTTGTTGTTCAGTGAGATCATGGCCTGAAGGTTCTAGCAGAGCACTGAGAATGTAGCATGTGCTCATTACACAGGAGCTGGTTATGTCATTATAGGATCTGCAGCTGTCCCTCTCTCAGGTGACGGAGCAGTCCCATTTATTCAGCGGGTCATTCACCAAATGATTTCTGTGCCTTCTTAATCCCAGGCCACACCTTGGGGCCTGTCCCGGGAAGGGGGAGTGGAGAAAGTCCCCCTCACTGGTTCCTGGTTCCGCTTCCCACTCTGGCTGCAGAAGAGGCCACATTGCCCAGTCCAGGGATTGACAGGTGGTTCAGTTTGAGTCCCAGGTCCCCCCATCCCCAACTCTCAGCAGTGATGCATAGGCAGGTGGATAGGCAGGTGGTACTGAGTTAGGGAGCTGGGCAGGGCCGGGAATTAGCTGTGGTAGTAACTTGAGATTTTTCCCAGGGGCAAAGGAAGGGGAACTGGAGGATTTTCACCCCAGTGGAGATGGGGATTTGGAAAGGTGTCCTAGGGCTGAAAGTGGGCAAGGGAGAGGGGTGTGGCCAGCACTGGGCTGCTCGGGCTCCTTCCTCTCCCACCAACTCTTTTCGGAAAGCCAACAAATATACTGGAATAAATTCACATCTTTTATTTTTATAATCAAACTAGAGGCCCATTGCATGAAGAGATTCATGCAATAGGCCTTCTTCCCCTGGATGCCGGCAACAATTTTCCTCCAGCACCCGGGACCCAGACCTTTGCTCCAGCCACAGCGGAGAAGGCAAGCCTCTTCAGTCTTCAGTCCAGGCTGAGCCTTCAGTCTTCGCTCTGCGCCTGCACATGCAAATTAACCACCATCTTTGTTGGGTTAATTTGCATACTCATCCTGATTGGCTGGTAGGCATAGCAGAGTGACACCAATTTGCATATTTCTCTTTTATTAGTGTAGATGATTTCTAAAAATAATTTCATTTCCAAAATTATTTGCCTACAAGAAATTCATTTAATTACAATTAGCCACAAATTCTTCACTGAGTGTCCAGGAGTCTTGGGAATTCTCTCAAAGTGGGGCGACTTCACCTGTAAGTTTGTTTCAAACAATTAAGTGTAATGAAATTTTTTATGATGATTAAATGAAACAATTAGTGAACTTGACATGTTAGGTTTTCTAGGCTTTTAGTTAAACACGTATAGATCCCGAACGTGCAATGCTTCCCCCACCCCTATATTTTGCAGCTCAAACATTTTCAAAGGCTTTTGGAAGCCAGAGGTGCTAAGACTGCTACTCCCAGAAGGGAAAATGAAGGAAATGGGGAGACACATCATAAGAGAGAGGAGTCCCCGGGGTTGTGGCCCGGGGTGAGTACTGGTGGCAGTTTCAGAGGGGCGGGATTTGAATCTGGATCAGATAGCCACAGCGCCAGCCAAATGGCTCCTATGCTTGGTGGCTCCGCTGGCCACCCCGGTGAAGAGCAGGCCGGAGAAGCCGAACACCATGGATCTAAAACAATCCAGTTTTAAACTTGTTCACTCAATCAAGTTAGATGCTTTTAAAGACAAATTTAATTATTCTGAGCTCAATGAAAGCCTTTTAATAAGCTGAACACCATGATTTCAGTCTCTGCCCGCAGGGCCACCAGTCAAGGCAAGGAGGGAGCACAGAGGGGAGGGAGGGAAGCTGGTGGAGGGAATGTGGGAGGAAATGTGGGGGAGGGGCACAGGGTCCCAGCAGGAGGCCCGCATGCACGCACACACACACGCACACGCACACACATGTGCACACACAGATGGGCATTTGTTTTAGAAATGTATTTGCACATTTA